CTGTCTCTCTGTCAGAATCAGGAGTAAATCCGGAGAACTGAAAAAGTTCTTTCCTTTTCTCTGTCCTTTCGTGATTCTGCCTTCCTCTCAGTACATAGAACCAGGCATGCATGGTATAAACTCTGCAGTGGTTTATCTTGGTGAAGTTTATCTGTTTGACGGTGATGAGAGGAAGCTGAAACGCCGAACTCTGGTTCTGTTTTTAGATCCTGCAGCTTTGAACAGAACAACCATCTGCATCTGAGCCGATAAAAACAAATCTGATGATACGGACGTGTTTATCAGCCTGTGTTGGAGGAAACAGATCTGGATCTGCTTCCTCCAGCTGCTGGTTTCTCTTCACCTCCTTGAAAATCAGCTTTCAGGGATCTGAACCGAGCGGCAGCAGATAATCGGTCCACATCTGATCAGGGTTTATTTTTAGCTCCAACTGTTTCCAAAATCACCAAAACAACCTGAAAACCAGGAAGCTGCTTCCTCCCAGGGTTTGGTTATGGGAAGGTTCTAGAACGGCTCCTGATTCTGCTGAGTGAAGCGGTACCTTCCTCTGCTCATCTGAATGTTTTCAGTCTGTTACTCAGAGACTTCTCAGCTGCTTACAAAAGCATTTCTCAATTAAATCGTTCAAATTTGATTTTTTTCTTATAAATTGCTTCGTTGTTACACCTTTTACAATAGCAACCATTTAAAATGCCCCTTCCCAGTCTAACGCGAGCAGAACGGCAACTTCCAACTCCCAGTGAAATCCCCTCCACCCCCCAGCCACTGCAGTGACCCCTTCTTGCATATTTTTTTTTCTCTGACTCCACCTTTTACTGAACTGCAGGGTCTGAACAGGAGATGAAGCTTCTCTTTAGATCTTAAGGTCAACAAATTATGAAAGAATCTTTTAGTACAAATTTTGATGTTTAAAAAGAAATTGTAGGGAACCAGCCAAGGACCCATCAAGGAAAGTGGGGAAATGTTGAATGGCCACTACTGTACCATATTTGGCTGATTTAGTGAGTTGAGACCTCACCAATCAGCCTCTGATGTTATTTCTAATGTTTTTTTAATTTATTTCAAAGAGCCTAAGATCAGTCAGCTTTGATGAATAACATCTGCGATCAGGAAGCTTTAATATGTTTCACAAATTCTTCATTTGATTTAGGTCTGCACTTTGATTAGGCCGTTATAATGGTAAAAAATGCTTTGAGCTAAACCAATCTATTGTAGCTCTGGTTTAAGTTTAGGGTTGTTCTTTTGGTGAGAAGGCCTTTACGTTTCCTTTAGGTACCGTCCCTGTTGAATAAAGCATCCCTACAGCATGATTCTGGCTCTGTTTCCACATACGGATGGTGAGCTCAGGAAGTTTGTTTTCCGTCAGAAAACATTTGGTGTATTTCAAAAGTGAAATAAACTCATTGACCAGAACATTTTCTTTCAAATTAAATCAAGACCTTTTATGACTTCCTTTAAAAAATAACCTTATTCGGAATTTGATTTGGGAAAATTCAAAGAGGGAAGATTGAGCCAGTAAAAAGCAGAAGACGAGTCCGACTACTAGAGCAGGGCTAAAGAAAGGCTAAGCTTTTAAAGCAACAAGTTATCCTAGGCCTCGGCAGTAAGAATGAAAACATTATGAATGGGAAAACCTCAATAAAACATCTGCATTTGGAACCTGGTAGTCAAGACTTAAAGGTATAGTGGAGGATGTTCTTTTTCCGGGTGAAAATAAGTGGTCCTCCTAATTGTCAATCATTCTGGTGATTTTCCCACTTTCCTTGATGGTTCCTTGGCTGGTCCCCTACAATTCCTTTTTAAGCATAAATCTTTATACTAAAATATTCTTTCTGTCATGATTGGTGGATATTAAGAAAGAGAAGCATCATCTCCTGGTCAGGCCCTGTAATTCAGTGAGATTCAGATCGAGTCAGATTAAAAAAATATGCACACCCAGGAGAAGGCCATTGGCTGGAGGGGATTTTGCTGGGAGTTGCAGGGAAGTGGGCAGCCATTCGGCTGGCTTTGACTGGAGGGGCCATTTTGAAGGACTGCTACTGTAAGGCCTTCCTACGGGCTTGTCCCCATTTTCACTTAACGGTAGAGAGTCTGACATAGTGGAAACATTGCAAATCTTCCATTGGAAAGTAAGCTTGTATGAATTATGCAAACAGCAACTTTTAAACAGAGTGTGCAGAAGGAGAAATAGGTTTGTGCACGCTCTCTATCATGAGCAGGTACAGGTTTGGGCATTTATTTTAAGTGAAGAGGGCGGGTCTTTTCAAATACTGCGAAAATCCTCCACTATACCTTTAAGTATGGCTGGAACATCATCCTGAGATTATTACAGCAACAAAATCCTGAACTGACAACATGTTATAGGTTTACAACAGGTTTTAAAATCTCTTTCTTCCATCCTTTAGCTTGTTTCTTCATCATTCAGTCATCTGGCTGTAGTTCACCTGTAGAAATGTCTTGTCTCAGCTGAACATCCTGTTTTCTCCTCAGACCTGCTTCCCATTGACCTGCTCTCCAGAGCGTTACCCCGCCCAGGACCAGCCGCAGCCACTCAGGTAGGAAACAGGAAGATCAGCTGATATGAGCTAAAACACTCAGTTGATCAATATTCTATCCAACAGGTGCAGATGGTTCAGTCCAGAGGATCTAGAGGTATCAGACTGACCGGCTCGGTACCAACAGCTCTAAGTTTTACATCCTCACACATCTTCACCAACTGTAACTATTTTCCTTCTGAGTTCTCATTGGTTGCCACTGTAAAGATACCAAGACTGAGACAGAAGGTAGATATTTTAGGAGCTGATCTAGTTTAAATATGTTGTGTCCAATTCAGGGCTGTCTAACCTGCTTTGTTCCTTAGACCAATCAGTACATCATCTCTGTGGTGAAGGAGGAATCTGCGTCATTGTTGCTTGGGCTGCGTGTCTCTGAGAACCATCTTCATCTTCTGACCGCTGCCCCCGGTGCCGGAGGGAGAAGACGGATAAGTTTTAAAAATGTGGGATTAGACGACAACAGATGGCACACGCTGGTTCTGGCTGTGAGCGGTCATTACGCCATGCTAACCGTTGACTGTGGCCTACCTGTGGAACTGTGAGTCTTTGGGTGGTTTGAACTGATTGAGGATGGTTAAAACCAATTTAGACTGGTGTAGATTAGTCTAAACTGGTTTAGACTAGTCAATTGTTCAACCTGTAGACTAATGCCAACATGTCTAAACTTGTTATTAACAGTTTCAAAGCTGTTTAACTAGTAGATAACTAGATCAGATATTGTTAAACCAGTTCACTGCGACTCAAGCACATTTTTACAACTGGCTTAGGAGAGTTCAGACCGGTGTTCTATCACACCAGCATACCCATAGTCAAAACCCATTTATCCCTTTTGTTTTGTACAAAAAATACACTATAAACTACCTCAATAGGCGTTTTTCCCTTAAGTCATGTACAAAAAGACAATTTAATTACTTATTTGTTGGTGTTTTGAAGCGTATGGTGGCATTACATTGTTCTTTTGCGACATGATTAAAGGGTTACACGCACATCGAGGTAGTTTAAAGTCTATTTTCGTAGAAAACTGAAGGGCTAACTGCAAATCTGATGTCTTGCGCATGCTTATTGACTATAGGTATGACCTATATGATCTGAACCGTTGTTCTGATCTGACAGAACAATGGTTCTACTACATTCTGGTCCCACCATTGCAGCTGCCTTCCTACCGGTAAAGGCTACATAAAACTTGTTGTGTCTACCTATTTGTTTTAAATTGGTTTTGATTGGTTCATTCTGCTTCATTTGGCCCATTCTAGTGGAGTTTTTTCTTTATTTCAGTCTGCCCTGATAGCTAATGCAGCAGGTTTAGTCCTTCCTTTGACACTAGTTCTTATCAGGTTCAATTTGATCCTGTTCAGTTTAACTGAGATCTTCTCTATCTACAACGAGCAAAATTCAGTTCCTAGATAATTTTGGAGTCAATCCAGTTGAACACAATTAGCCATGATATGTTTTATTCTGGTTCTGTTTTTTTTTAAGATCCATTTATTGGATTATTATTCAAATTGACCAAGTTCTAGCTGAGATTAGATCTTATTGGTTCTTATTGGCTGGTATTGCTAAGTGAAATATTAGAACATTCATAAAAGATTTTCTCCAAAAAAACTTAACCAATTTGAGTGAACTGGTCATTGGTGTTCTTCTATTAGCCTCCTTAACTGGTTTCCTGTCTCTCAGTAAACAGGTCCAGTCCTTCCCCAGTACTCTGAACACTCAAGGGTCCAAGTTCTTCATCGGCAGCAGGGGGCACTGGAGGGGTCGCTTCTCTGTAAGTCTACCATCAGGATCAGAACCTGGTCCAGAGGCTTTTCCTGAGGAATCATTGGTCTTTTTTACCTTATAGGGTCTGCTTCGTCAGCTGGTTCTTCTTCCAGGCTCAGACGCCAGGCCCAGACTTTGTCCAAACTCTGAACCCAGTCTGGCAGAGCTGTTGGTCCCTCAGGTTCTCAAGTCCGCCCTCCTTCAGCCGGACCAACAGGGTTCAGTTTATCCATATGGTGAGAAGTAAAACTAGCTGTTAATATACGTAGATCAACAAGGCTCCTCACTAACTTCCTTTGGGAGAATACAAACCCGCTGACACCATGTTTCATTCTGTCCCCTTCATGAAGCTATATAAAAAGCAGATATCACTGCCTACAATGAAGTTTATTGAATTCAAGTGCCAAACTGTAACCCAAGCAGTTCCTATTCTTTGTTTCACTCTAATCCACACCCCTGGGAACATGCTGCTGCTATGTTAAAGGACTTAAGCCTGGTTTATGCCCTGGAACGTCTGGTCGTCTGGGTGTGTGTCACAGTTAACGCAGATATACCCCCCCCCCCCATCCGCAGACACTCTTGTGAACCTCCCAAAATTGTAGGTGACCGCAGACAGTGCCACAGATAGTGTCGCAGGGAGGAGAGAAAGGAGGCCTCTGATTGGTCAAGTCTACATCGACTCTACGCTATGCATATTTCCTGTTTGGTACCTAATGGAAGAAACTCCACAACATCTGGCACACCTTGGACACTATCCTAGACACCGTGCAGGACCCTAGTTTGTAGCTCTGTGCGACGGTCTGTTGGTTTGAACCCAAAGCCAAAACAAGCAGAGCCACGGCCAGACTTTGGGGAACGCTCACGAGTGAACTGTGTGTCGTCAGGCGTTGGATGAGGGGTTTTAGACGACGAACAACTCGTCAGACCGACACACAGAAACCCACAATCCTAGCTAGTTCCTGATTGTCTCTCTGGCGTTGTGGCGTGGAATAACATGGTGCAGACCACGCCTCATAATTGGGCATAAATCAAAACTATCTGCATCATACCAGCGACAAGCTAACTGTGACACACTGCTGCAGGCGTGTAACCAGCCCTTTACTGTTATCTTAACCCAAAATAATGGCACAGGCATGAAAAGTTAGCCTCAAGTTAGCGGTTATCTGAAATCCAAACTGTACCCACCACTGGCCCATGCATTGCTCTCCTTCGCATTTGAAACTTTAATAAACAACATTTTGTTATTATTATTTATTATATGATATCGTTAAAACAGGTTTACAACTGTGAGGAATGGTCCGTCTGTTCCAGTACAGATTCTCTCACCTCAGCATGCTGGATGCCTGAAACTGAAAGGAAAATTGACCCCTGGCTTCATTTCTGATTTATTCTGCTAATAACTGAAACTATCGGGATTTCATTGGGATTTGATTTGCAGAAAAACTGTTGAAAATAATACAGCAATAGTAACATCTTCTGTCCAATCCAACCAAGTGCTTTAAACTCCACACTCTTCCCAGTTTACATCTTCTATTCCTGTTAGAGCGAGAGAAACAAAATACACGTTAAAGTCGTCACACGACCTAATGTTCAGGAAATAAAAGTTCTTTTTATTTGGTTCCACTAGAAAAAAAAAATATTTATAAATGCTAGAATACACAACAAGAAAGGAGATTGTGAGAACAGTATTAATTGTTAAACTTTCTAGTTTTTCTGTAGGTTCCGGTTGCTGGGGGGGGCTGAGGTCTCCTTTCTCTGCCTTCTGAGCTGAATGTTTCTATATTTTCACTGTCTGCCTGTAGAGTGTTTGCAATGTAAACCTGGAGCTGTGATGGTAGCAGTGATTCAGTAACCTGAGCTCCAGACTGACTGACAGCATGAAGAAGTGTTTGTTTATACGCATCAGGCTCCTGTATCACTGTATCACATCTATGGGGATCACTAACTCTGGACCCGTAGTTCTGCTCGGTACCGGCTGATTCTTCTGGTAGAACTGGATGGCTTTATGGGCTCCTTGTTGTGGTCATACTTTTGGTTCAGGGCAGGTTTGGGGCAGATGTTTTGTTTTTAAAGGCTGGAGGCTGTGAGCTGGAGCTGCAGGTTTGTCCCTACTGTTTGATGTGTGTTTCCATGGCAACAGAGTGAGGTCAGACAGGTGAGGACTTGTACAGGTGTCGCACTCTGGACGTCTGCTGAGCAGTCTCACTTTTTCCTTTCTGTCTTTCACGCTTTTAGATCTCAGCTCTGTTGTGTCTCGGTTGATGACTTTCCTTGATTGATTGGTCAATAATGTTGCATCTAATCTCAGACATTTTCCACTTTTCTCTCTCTTATTTTTATGGGGTTTCTTTCAGGTTAATTATCACAGAAATAATAAAGTTCTGCTGATTGAAGTTCAGCGCTGATCCTGTCAGGCTCTTTATGACTCACGGTTTATAAAAAGCCCTCTGAGGTGCGTTTGATTTATGTACCTGCCTGCAGCTGAGCGAGCCCTGCAAAGTGCGGTCGCCTTAACTTGACCTCAGATTTCTAAAGAAAACGTCACCAAAGATCATGTTGCTATGATCCATGAAAGAGTTTAATCCACCCAGAGCTTTACAATCCAAAACACGCCCGGTCCCACAAAAACCTCAACCCACAGGGAGTTGGAACGTTGGGGAAGAAATTTTCTTATTGTATAACCTGCAGCATGAAGTCAGAATATTGCAGGTTCTGTCCCAGGTTGCACATTCCTTTTTCTCTGGCTTGAAAACATTCTGGGATGATGTTGGGATGTGAAACATTAAAGGTATAGTGGAGGATTTTTACAAATTGTTTAAAAGACGCGCCCTCTTCACTTTAAAAAAGCAAATGCACATGCACAACCCTGTACCCGCTCACGCGTGTGAGTTGCTGTTTGCATAGAAGCTCATAGAAGCTTACTTTCCAAAAGAAGATTTGCAATTTTTCCACTATGCCAGACTCACCACCGCTAAGTGAAAATGGGGACGAGCACGTAGGACGGCCTTACACGAGGACCACTTATTTAGATGATCCACCCGGAAAAAGAACATCCTCCGCTATTCCTTTAAGGACAAATTGTGACAAAATTATGTTAAAATGAAAACTATTTGGGAAGCCGAGGTCTTCAGATGGATCGCATGTAAGAAAATGTCCCCAATGTAAAAGCACAGGTGATTTGCACAATTCAAATTTTAAAGGTGCAGAATAAAATCAAGACATTCAAAAAATGTTGAGGAATTTTATGTAGCAAACCTCAGAAGATTTGGCTTTGATCTCTGATAAATTTGATGAAAAAACTCATCCAACAACATCTGGAAACTGTTTTCTATAAAATACAAATATATTTAAAAACTCATGGAGGCAGCTATGCACAATTACCTGGTTTCACTCTATAGGTTTTAAAATGTCCACCAGATGATTCTGAACATCTTAAAGTCATTTTTAATGTGGCGCTAGTTAATATTTCATGGGGTGGATGTAAAAGAAAAGATAGGAGGTGACATTTTTAAAGCTGCAGGCAGCATCAGTAGAGCAGCTGACTGTATGCTGGCTATAGCAGGCAGCTTAACTAATGATCCTGCCTGAATTTGCTTTTAATACAAGAGTTACTCTGTGAAGAGCAGAGTGGAAAAACTGATATAATTCTGCATAATAAGTTTTAATGAGAACCAATGTTAACTTTGATAAATGATTATTCCAGTTAGTTTAGTTTTTATATCTAATCTATAGCATGTCAGTCATTTTATATAATTGTAATCAAAGCTGCATTATTTCAGCAGCATACCTCTTTTTTTATGTGTTTTAAATAAAATGGAGATAATTTAATTGAAATGTCATTTTTTTATTATTTGAAAAGTGCAAATACTGTAAAACTGTGGTAGAAGACCCACAGTACTGAAGAGGATTGGTGCCACTGGGGGAAAACTTTTTTAAAAAATTTTATTTCAGTTTAGTGATTGTCAGAATTCAGTCAGAATTCTGACTGAATTCTGACTGAATTCTGACAATAAAAAAGTCAGAATTCTTAGATTAAAGTGAGAATTTTGAGAAAAAAGTCAGAATTCTGACTTTTTCCCATACTAAACTGAAATAAAATTTAAAAATCAGTTAACTTTTTTTTTTCCAGTGGCCCTAATCCTCTTCCGTACCACAGTGAGCATAGATAGTGGTGAGATAGATCACTGCTCCTAATCGTTGTAGAAATGAATGTCCATCCGGTTGTCAGGTCTTCGCTCTCTGATTCGTTGTCTCGTGGTTTGGGAGAGCTGACGAATTTAGAAACCAAAAATGAGACAGCATGAATTAATTTTTAGCCATTTGAAGGAAAAAAGGAAATCTGCAAACTGTGAAAATTGATCTTTCACTAAACCTGTGGAGTGTTTTTAAAGTTAGAGATTTATATTTCTTAGGTAAACTTCTCAATTAGAAGCGCTCCTTTTCTTTTTGTGATTGTCTCAGAGGCGGAGGCCAGAGTGACAGCAGGAGAACGTCCTCCATGTTCAGGACCAGAGAAAGGTCAGCTTTGGTTCAACGTTCAGAAGAAAGGTCTGTTCATCTGTGACGGGACGACGTGGACGACGCTGCTTCAGAGTGAGTCTGAACAGTTCACAGAACGTCAGAGTGATGGAGCTGGTTCTGATATGAGATCTGACGTAAACCCATCCTGTTACCAGAGTAAAGGAATCATTATACTCATCATGTAGTATTTATTTCCTCCAAAAATGTGTTTTAGAGATTATATTGACATCCCTGACTCTTAAATCTTCTTGTAATACAGTAAAATGGTCTCTTCTGCAGATAAGGAGCGTCTGGACTATGTGGAGGACTACCAAGACCTGTACACCCGCTCAGAAACCTTAGATGTGGAGGTCTTCTCCATCCCGTCTGAAGGCCTCTTCATGGCTGCAGCCAACAAGTAACAGACCTCATCCCGATCAGAAGCCCTTAAGGTGTTTGTTTTCATGCTAACAGACTTCTCTCTCACAGGGCCTCCCGACCCGGTTCCGGTATTTACAGATGGCAAAATGGGTCGTTCCAGCTGTACCAGAACATCAGCACCCAGGAAGCCAGAGCTTGGAAACATTTCAAAATCGATGGAAAGGTGAGAGCAACTTACACAGCAGGTCTGTGAAGATCCTCAGTTATCTAGGTAATGGTCAAGCTGGAAAAAGTTCAGTCTAGGCAACTGGAGTGACGTTTCTCCTCTCATGCAAGAGGTTTCTTCCACTTGCATGAGAGGAGAAACTTCTTCTAGAAAACTTCATGTCCAGTTGCCTAAACTTAACTTTTCAAGCTTAGACAGCAGGTAGTGTTTTTAACCACCTGCTGCATAAAGAGTGGGGAGTCTGTGGAGGTTCTGGACCTGAAAGGTGAGAAGATAAACCAACTAGTGATCTGTAGTTAAGGACAATGCCTCTGCTAGTCCTACAGAGAATTTGATGCTGTCGTTTGGTGACGTCTGTTCATGTGAGCTGGAAAGGTGTGCTCAGGTACGGCCTCCTGTGTTCTCTTTGTGCCGGTGTGTTTGCTCTAAGTGGGACACAGGTGTTAACACAAAGCTCTGCAGGTATTCACAGCAGCTGTGTACCAGCAGACCAGGATGGAAAGGAAGATCGCTTCATAGCGGAGGGATCTTAAGTGTTTCAAAGAACCAAAGACCCGTGTTTGTCCTGGAGTTCTAGCTCCATCCGCCTCCATAGTCGGGTCACATCCATTAGTTTTAAGGTGATATCTGTTCCACTTCGGTTTGAGGAATCAGATTTTAGATGTTATAATCTGATGGTTTTAGTCTATCCTTAACTGTTGACATGTTGACTGAACTAAAGAAATCCTCAAAGCACTTATTCCAGCCTTGATATTTTCCTGGTCCGAGTTTAGAGGCCCAAACCTTCCCAAACCAAGCAGATCCTGAGCAGTGGAATCATTTATTGGAACTTCAAAGTCGCTCATATCCTCTGTCCAGTCCTCTGAAAATTGAATATTTGCTTCTAAAACCATATAGGAAAAAAGAGAAGCTGAATTTGAGAAACTGAAAGCTCAGAACATTTCCAGGCTGCAATTGTTGATGCAATGTCACACAGAGATGAAGGACCAAGTCTGTGAATCCTCAAAGTGGAGAGTATCTTAGAGCTGCCAGAAATCCAACATTCCTCTTAAACAGGTTTACTCCAATGGGTTGGGATAGAAATTCAGAAGGATGGTCAAATGTCAGCCTAATGGTGATTGGTGTGGTTTTCATCCCGGTCTTTTACCATTGGAGCAGAGTTACACCACTGTGGAGGTAATATTGCGACTAATGGACTCACTGAATGTTGGCCAGTCGGTTGGTCTTCAAAAAGAGTTTGGGCCAAAGTCTAAACCAGTTGGTGTTCCAGGAGAGAAGGCTGAACTATAAGTTCAGACCAGAGTCAAACGGTAACAGTTTTAACAACCGCAAAGTTTGGAGGGAACGGGGTTGAAGATTCAACCACAGGAGTTAATGAAGAACAGAAGATTCTAGATGAGACTTGAGTCCAATATGATCTCCTTTTAATGTATAAGAATAGTGTTAATGAAGATAACAATTCAGAGATACATTGACCCACCGTAAATCTGTGATGATGAAGCAGATGATGCTACAATCCCTCAGATTTTCCTGGTGGTGGCGGACAGCAGGAAGGCAGAGCCTGAGATGTCAGTCATCTATCGATGGAATCGGCGACGGAAGCGTTTCCTTCTCTACCAGACTCTGGAAACTCACGCTGCTCAGGACTGGGAGGCCTTTCAGATCCACAACAGTAGCTTCCTGGTGGTGGCCAATCACAGGCGAGGTAAGCTGGAAGGGAAAACGATCCAAATGGGGAAACACAGGGTAAAAAGCTAAAAGGAACAAAAACACCAGCTAAAGTTTAAAGAAAACAACTAAATAACATTAGAAGGTCTGGAGGGATGTGGGTTTTTAGCAAGACTGGAAATTAATATTTTCCTTGTAGATGCCTTTAGATGTATTTCCACCCACCGGTTCCAGCCCAACAAGTTCTGCCCTGATACTGACATGGTTCTAGTACAGATACAGATACGGTTACAGATATGTATACTCCTGAGGAGAAGATGGTCTTGGAGCTAAAAATAATGAAACTATAGCCTCCTTTACACCACCCTTTTGAAAATGTGCCGAGATCGGTCCAAGCATGGTAACCGAGATAACCATTGAGTGTAAATGGAATGCAGAACTGAACCAGACCGCGCCAGACACAACCGAACCGCGCTAAACTGGTACTAGTTCATCAGTAGGCACGGTTCAGTTCTGGCTAAGTTCTCAGATAACGAAGAGTTCATGAGCAGACCATGTCATCTCCTAAAGGGCTGGTTATACCGTGTGTCGCAGTGAGCTGGTCGCAGATATTTTTGATTTATGCCCAATATTGAAGCGTGACCTGTGCTATGATATTCCACGCCACAATGCAAGAGGAACAATTACAAACTAGCTGTGGGTCTAGATACGGCCGGGCGGGGAGGAAGTGGGGGAAAGTTTGTGTGACAATGAGGGCGAAAAAGAGCGAGGATCCAGTGTTCTTGCGCACCTTGATCTTCTAAGTGGTCCATCTTCATGAGTAGTTTTCCACAATAACCGTCATACAAATAAAACAAGCCTATAAGCTGCCAAACAGGAAATATGCATAGAGTACAGCGGATGTAGATTGACCAATCAGTGGCCTGCTGCCCACTGTCTGCTGTCACCTATAATTTGGGAGAGGTTCAGCAGAGTGTTTGGAATCACAGCGACACACACCCAGACGACGTGGTTTCTGAGTATAAATCAGCCTTTAGAAAGGTAAGGGGCTTTTTAGGCTAACAAAAGAACCCAAACGACTCCCATTCCAAAGGGGTGGACCCGTTCGTCAGGTTCAATTTGAATGTTATATTTGCGTTCAATGTGACACACGCACACAACCTGGTTTGAGTATAAATCAGTCTTAACAGTCAGCCTCCGTAATCATGAAATTTTAGACATTCAGAAGAATACTAGCTTTCCTACTGTGCCACAGGATTTCCAGTGATGATTCTGCTTAGCAGTGTGATGAACCTCAACGTCTGTCGTTGTTTCCTGCGTCTTTAAGTCCTGATTAGACTATCGTTTGTCGTATCCATTTCCCAAAAGTCAACTGTCAAAGGTTGCCTTCTTCTCCTAATTCTCAGCAAACTTCCTGAATGTTACGGGCGCCACCATGTTGATTTGCTTGTTTACCTCTAGAGAGCAATAGTACCATAGATCGTCACTAGAAGGCGAGGAACCGTGCTGGCGTGGTTTATAAAGGGTCGTAAGGAACCAAACTCGGCACGGATCGGTTTTCAGACGGTAGTGGAAATAGGGCTTATAATTCACTCTTCTTACACAAGGATTGTGATTCCTCCGATAGTTGTCACCCTCTTGTAGCAATCAGTCTGCTATTGAAGGATTGCAGATGGACTGTTTCCCAGCTCCAACTTTGATGCTGGTACAAAAGTACCAACAGAAAATCAGTTAATCAGTTTGGATTTGAGATTTAAAATCTCCACCAAATAGCTTTGCCTATTAGTCTAAAGTAAACACAAACCATCCGCACAAAAACTAAGCTTTAGGTGATGAGTGTAGAGTAGGTCCATAGATGTTTGTAGGACACACATTAAAACCAAACATATCAGTGAACATCCCCCCCCAGCTGACTCTAACTTATAAAACAAATTTTATTTCTTCCTCAGAGCATTTTTCTGAAATCTGTTATGTTCTAAAGCCTTCTGTAATCAGACGTGTTTAATAACAAGCTGCAGTGCGGTCAGGTTCATCTGCTGAACTGTTGCAGGATCTGAGATGCTGATCGTTCTGTGGTGAGTTTTAAAACCAGACTATCTGATGTTAGGAAAGTTGTGGCTTTTAAGCTGATAAAACACTTTAAAGTTCAGAGAGCGCTGCTATCTCCCGGCCTGTGGATGCGCAGCCACTTCAAACACACCTCCACCTGCACGCTCGGATGTTTCCTGTGGACATAAAAACAAACTCGCTGAGAAGAGATTATTTATGATCTGAGAGGAAAGAGAGCAGGGATCACATCACACAACTGTAGAAGACCGTCTGAGACTGATCCGCTCTCAGTCTGCGGTACATCATCAAGCTTTAGTGTAATCAAACCCCATAAACAGTCCCAGTATGACCAGTTTAGCTCTCCCTCATCATTGGGAGGTAGTGGTCATAGGATGTTGGAAGTGTTCTCTGAAGGTGCAGAGAACTGACAGTAGGATGGCATTTAAGGTTCCTAGAATTTAGCTGCACTACAGGAAGATCCATCTGGCTGATTGAACCAGCTGCTGCAGGCCCAGATGCTCCTCTATAGACAGTATGGGAGCCTTTTAATGGTTTCTGGGAGCTATGGGGAGCCAGAGGAGGCTCTTCCGTCGATGTGTGGAGATGGGATGATAAGTTGTCACAGCTGAAAGATAAATCTTACCGTCTTTTTTTAAGCATCTGATCCATGTGGGTTTTTAAGAGACAAGATTAAAACAACAGATCGGACCAACAGATTTAATCATCGTTACTGCAGAGTATCATCTGCATATAGGTGATAAAAAGCTACATGATCTGATATCCAGACCAAACCATAAAACTGCAAAGATAAGGTGGCCGAGCTTCCAGCTGAGTGGAACTCCCTATCAGAGATGATGATTCAAGTTTGAGGCTCTGACAAGAGTCCACCTTAAGTCCCCAAATGAAATACTTGAAAACTGACTTAAAATTGTCTATTAAAGATTTGAGATTTCACCTTCACCCCTAGTCTGAGAATCAAGCACAGTAGCAGCCGTTCAAAATGGCCGTTCCCAGTCAAAAGCCAGCAGAAAGGCAGCAAAATCCCCTCCAACTTCCAGCCACTGGCCTTCTCCTGGGCGGCCATATTTTTTTTACTCTGACTCCACCCTTTCGCTGAATTACAGGGTCTGACCAGGAGATGATGCTTCTCTTTAGATCTTAATGTCCACAAATCATGACAGAATATTTTAGTACAAAGATTGTTGTTTAAAAAGGAATCGTAGGGAACCAATCAAGGAAAGTGGAGAAATTTTAAATGGCTACTACTGTATGATCAGTTTTTATCATATGTAATGAAGAGTGAAAGCATTTATGTGAGCTAGAGGCTGCAGCTGCTGTGCAGGTTTGCCTGAGGAAGGAGTATGAACCAGCAAAAATGGTGGAATCTGTATATTCTGCTTCATAACTTTATTAAAAATGGTATATTCCTGTTAGTTTTAACGTCACAATAATGACAACATGAATGTTTCACAGTGAAATAGTTTAAAAATATATCTTCATTTAATTTACCTATTAAATGTTCTCATTCTTATTGTTTTTATTTATTTACTTACCTCACTTTGCATCATTCATTATGTTGTAAATGTTTTCTTTTGATTTGAACATCAGGATGAAGAACATCGGGACAAAGATATTGATGAAGAAAATCTTTTTCCAATATTATTTAAAGTTCTCCAAACTATTTCTGCATTTAAACTTAAAATTTCTGGATATTAATTAACTTTGTGTTTATGGGGAGAAGTTTAGAGAGCAGGTTGAGAAGCTGGTCTAAAGTACTGATGGCAGGGGGGGTTCATGATATGCACCATTACCAGCTACTACTAAAAACCAACTTCCAAATGTTTGTCCTCATGTCTAATGATGATCTGTCCCTGTCTGTCCTCAGCCAGAGACTCCAACCATAACATCCAGAGTGTCATCTACAGGTGGAACCCGGACACAAAGGTAACCATCCCTGTCCTCATCAGAAGATGTCCAGCCTGTCCTCAGCTTCATGTCTGTTAACCTGATTATGTCCATGTTCCCCCTGTTTAAGTCTCCCTCCTTTTTTTTATCCTGGTTCAGCTGTTTGAGGTGAACCAGACTCTGACTACGTTCGGCGCTTACGATTGGGAGTTCTTCACCATCGGGCCGTATCATTTTCTGGTGGTGGCGAACACGTTCAATGGTCAGACCACCACCATCAGCTCCACCATCTACGTCTGGGTGGACGGATGTTTCCGGAGCTTCCAGAACATCACGGTCAGTGTTGGGATGCAGCTTTGGATCAGGGCTGGTTTGGGAATGACAACCACTCCAATTTTGCTTTACTTTAGCACCCTCTAGTGGTAAACTTCAGACATAGACTGGGTTAAATCTAATGAGCTTTTTGTGCCACTGATGATGTGCTCACGCACAAACACAACAACTATTGGACCCTTGGAGAAATGTTTCATAGCGGGGGCCATATGGGGCCACTAAAAACCTTTGGGTGGCACACTGATACTAAAAGCCATAATTTCAGGGTTGGAATCTACTATGTGGTAAACCTGCCTGTAGATAAGACTTTAGTAAACACCTACTCATATCTTGGTGTATTGTGTGATTTTTAATGTTACGTCGCTGGCTGTACATAATGTGATGAAATACTAAACTGATGCTTTATGCTGGTGAAGATTCTCATCCAGGTCATAGTCATTCCGTAATAGTTCCCCTTCACAATCGGAGACAGGTTTCAGATATTACAGGCTAACAATGGAACCAAACGACCCGCTCATCCGTTTCAATTTGCATGTTTGCAAGCAATACAAGGCCTTGTCTATATAAAGCCTCAAACTCAATGCGAATCCAGACATTTTGAATTGAGAAAGCTTCCTGGATGGGAAGCGAAACGTCTTCAAACCTTGGAAACCAAGTCCAGTGGATTGTTTTTTAAACTTTTATGGAATAAACTGATGCTACTAAAATTTACACTGGCCAGTGGGGTGGCCTGTGGTGCCACTGCCCTCAGTTATAGCGAACCATGTTGCATCACACACAGATTGGTTCTGATTGGAGCAGGTGTATCCTCATCCCTGAGTTTACACCATCAGGTCAAATCCTCTTTCTCAACTCAGTGGATGACCAGTACCTTTAAGACAAACTGGGGGCTCCAGAATCTGATTCAAACTCATTTAAACATTTATTCTGGCCAATCCAGTCACAGTTGTTACCTGGAAAATCTAAAGTTTAGGTCTGAACTCCCTATAAAAACAGATTAAGAAAAAACATCCGGTGCTATTATAGAATTAATCTAGTACCTTTGCATCTATGCTCTGATATGGGTGTAACAAAGATGTGTTCTGGGTCACCTTGAAGAACCACCTGCTGGTCTAATGAGACTCCACACCTGCAGCTGCTGCTTGTTTTTCATCAGTCAGTCTATAATAAACCTCCTCAAACTGCAGTAAAACCTTAAATGTGACGACAGATGTCAGAACATGAAACAGAAACATAAAATCAGCAGCAGATTTATAGAAATATGTTTCATTCTGCCTGCTGCTGCTGCTGATGATAAAAAGGACAGTTCAGGAAACCAGCAGTGAGTAATTAATGAGAGGGGGTGAGGGATTTTCCAGCTGAAGACTACAGAAAGTTTATGGCATTCTTTAAAACCACAGAAACACATTAAATCCTCCTGCTGTGTAATCCAATCTCTAACAGCGACACAGATCACCACATAAAAAGAACATCAACATCTCAATGTGTTGCTTATATTTTGAAACAAATCTATAAAGTTTAGGTTTCCTTTCTATCAATTGAAAACTCCACTCTGGCGCCCTCTATGCGTTACAGGAATAATTGCATATTTTAAAAAGTCAAACAGTAAAAGTTTTGGAAACATGAAAAAAATATTTGGAAATAATCTTCAAAAAATGCTCTAACCAATTTTCAATAAAACAATGTTTTTATTTAATTCAGTTCAGTTTATTTCTATAGCCCCAATTCACAACACATGTCATCTCAAGGCACTGTCATAATTTTCTTAAGAGATCTGACCCACATGCAGTAAACCACTCAGAGAACCAGGGTAAAAGTTTAAACAGGTTTATTGATAAGGTCAGCGGGGGTTGGATTCATGTGCTGGTGAACCGGAACTGGAAGAGGGAAGGGAAGTATCAGCGGTTAGTTCAGGATCCGTGGGAACTTTAAGCAATGGCTGGAGAGACATAGAAAACGGGAATCACTTTAGTGGAGAAGATCTTTTCTCCCAGAATCCAGTTAGTGTGGGTTTATCCAGAGGTAGAGACTCGTTGGAGGGCGGACAGGTTTAAACTTGGTTGGATTCTGAGAAGCTATTGAGCGGACTGTCACTTGGAAATCCAGGAGGCCTTGAATGGAACTTGTGGAGGTTAATCCCCTGCTCAGTGTGTGACTCAAACAATCCTTCCAGGGGAGAAGGGCAAACATCCAGCTTGCAAGAAAGCCACTCTGGCGTCGAGGTAGTGACAGTCCACCGCTCAAATAGTCCTCACTATTGAGCCAACCAGCCGCAGGTGTGTGGGAGGATCAATGAGAACAGGGCGCCACCTGGTGGTGGAGGGAGAGCACAGGACAAAAACACAACCCACACAAACTGGGTTCCTAACAGGCACTTTACAGTTCACCAGATCATCCAG